AAAGAGAAGAGGCCACACAAAAAGCCTTCTCCTCTGGTACTTAGGCAGTTACACATTACCAGATTTGCAAGGCTTTCCTTGCTCACCGAGTCCAGCCCCTGCTCCTGCGGGCACCATGAGGTGCAGTCCCCTTCAGCAGCTCCCGTCCTTCCCCAGGCCCCTCAGCTAGACCTGCAGGAGCCTATTCTGCAATCTCACTTCCCCGAGTCAGGCAGGAGCATCAGGAAATTATTATTTTTCAGACAGGCAGGTGGGAACATACAGGTTTACCCCATTTTTTTTTTTTTTTGGCGTCTTTGATGCCCAGTTGTTTAAGGAGCTCTTCTTCTTACCTGGCGCTGTTTTACAGATCAAACAGAACCCTCTCCCAGCCTTTGTTTGCTAGGATAAACAAGCCCAGTCTTTTAGTCTCCACTTTTAAGACAGGCTTTCCACTCTCCTGAATATCCAAAAGTAACCCTTTTCATCTGGTATCACTGAATCCTTTTTTTTTTTTCCTCCCCAAAATTGCACACCTTAGTCCAGATGAGTTCTGCAGTAACTTTTAAAGTTCCTTCTATTTACCAGGATGATACTGAACTAGAGACAGGTCTATCTAAAAATCAAAGAACTTCTCTGGAGCTCTGGAGTTATACGTACGCTCATCTACTTTTTTCCCCCCATACTCAGAGGGAATGCACTGATTCACCTCATGCGCCTCTCCTGATGCATGAGAAGAGAGAACCCACCCTGCTTGTCCCCAGGGGTCCTCTTAGTTGAGGACGTAATGTCAATGTGTAATGTCAAAACTTATAATTGATTCCTCTCGTTAGCATAAATAATGTAATGACCAGGATCAGCATGAGCGCATCCTGGGAATTTTAGCTTTTTTGATACCTATCTAAAAAATCTGATTTCCAACAAGAAAATGACAATGCACCATTCCGATAGCACAAGAACGAACTGATAGGAGCTGCAGGGGATGAGTCTCTGCACTGTGGCTCTGTCAGCACAGCTGTGCTGTGCCTTTGGGTAGACGAGGTGCTTAGGGACATGGTTTAGTGGTAGAATGGCAGGGTTAGTTTAAAGGATGGACTTGATGATCTTAAAGGTCTTTTCCAACCTAAACGATTCTATGATTCTGTACGGGAGGCAAAGGCACATTCAGAGAAGGAAGAATTTTTCTGTCAGGACAATGGGACCACAGAGCTTTTTCAAACCCTAAACAGCAGAGCTGTGTTGCCAGTCCAGGACCATGAAAAACGCTATTCTGTGTTTATAAAGCCCAGACCATAGAAAATTTTGCTATTTAAATGTTGTGCCATGTTGCTACTGTGAAATAATACTAAATTTCTTGAGTTTTATACATGCTTCTGTTCAGGTCTGGAATAACTGGATGTTGTGGCAGGCCAAAATAAAGTTCAGTAGATTTGGTGTTACACATGCATATTGTATTATTGTTATGTACGATATATCTATTTTTCTATCATTTCTATTTATATGTTGTAACCCTTATCCATATGATTTTTCTACTCATATTTTGTTAAAAATAGCCATAAATCACATTCAACAATGGACACAGGCAATGAAAACACTGTGACATGTAGACTATATATGTACTACGCACCTGTGAAGACATTTTTGAAGTCATTTGAGTGGCAAGGGTGCAATTTACATATGTATTTGAGTAATTATGTAAGTTCTGTAGCTGATTGGAAGGATGAGGGTTTATGCATATATACATTTATATGACAAATGCCATTCATACAGCAGTTGTTGCAAATATTGTTCTGAATGTGAAGTTATGTACGGCAAGGTTAAAATCCCTGCAACTTGGCTGCCAATGCAGCAAGAAGTCTCTCCCTGCAAGAGAGAAGCAAAGCTCACATCGCACAACGACTGTCAGCGTGAAGCTGGTTAGACAAGTTAATTTGGGTACCTGTATTTATTGTTTTCAAAGGTGTTGAGCATGCCGTGTCTTGAAGATATAAGGAAAGGAGATTATTAAAGCCATATTGTTATTTAAAACTGAGTTTTCTTACTTCGTTTCCTTACCTTTCCCTGTGAACTTTGGTTTGGCCTTGAGCAGCAACAATACACGCAGGTTTCCACCCTGGAGATCTCAGTCTGCTTCTTACAAACGTCCTGCAGGTTGGAAGCTAAAGATGGTAGGCCATTCCCCCCTACAGGACAACGAGGAAAGTGTCTGGGGGAACAGGGAGTGGGGACAGCAATATCAAGGTCTCCACAGCAGTATCTTTAAGGAAAGACATCACATACGGCAGCGTTTCAAAGGAACCCTGTGTGCTCTGTCTGCCTCTCCAGCTAGTCGGCTCTTCTGCGTAAAGCACGGTCAAGGCTGGAGCTGAGAGGGTGCAACAGATTTGCTAGCTAGACTTGGCAGAAAAAAGAGATGCTGAACCAAGCTGTGCTACATATGCCTTTAAATGCCTTGTCTGCAGGAAGCAAGGGATTGTAGAACAACTAGGATGATAAAGGGACTGGAGCACCTCCCCTACGAGGAAAGGCTGAGAGAGTTGGGCTTGTTCAGCCTGAAGAAGAGAAGACTGAGAGGGGGCCTTATCAACACATACAAATATCTTAAGGGTGGATGTCATGAGGATGGAAGCAGTCTGTTTGCAGTGGTGTTCAGCGACAGGACTAGGGGCAATGGGTGCAAACTGAAACATAAGAGGTTTCAGTTGAATATGAGGAAAAACTTCTTTACTCTGAGGGTGACAGAGCACTGGAACAGGCTGCCCAGGGAGGTTGTGGAGTCTCCTTCTCTGGAGATATTCAAAGCCCACCTGGATGAAGTCCTGTGTAGAATGCTCTAGGAGAGCCTGCTTTAGCAGGGGGGGTGGACTAGATGATCTCCCGAGGTCCCTTCCAACCCTTGCCATTCTGTGATTCTGTGATTCCGTATGTTAGTAGAATATAAGGAAATTGTGCTATCCTATACAGAGGATTAAAAAAAAGCTGAAAATAGAGGTTCAGGACACTAAGGGGAGCATTTGCATGCATCCCCCTGCCCGTAACAGTAAGCGTTCAAGCAGTCTAACCATTCCTCTTACCAGGCACAGGCATTAAATGAGCCTGAAACAGGTTTTCGCCCCCAGAGCACAGAACAGGAACCAATTTCCCGAGTCGCAGCGAAGCCCCCACACAGCATCGCTGGAGCCATGGCCCATAGGTCAGACCATGCGGGGCCGAAGGGGTCGGCTCTTCTTTCCAGCTCAGAGCACGTGCTGCTCGCTTACTTTGAAAAGATCTTGACACCACTTCCCAAAATGCTAACATCCACCCGTGCCTGCCTGCAAGATTTCAGTCTCCAAGAGCAAGAGGGAGGACACAGGCTCCCCAGGTGCTGTACTGTCCATAGAGAAACCAAGTGTGAAAATGCCATTTGTTGAGATCAGTGGGAGGCTGCTCTGCACTATTTAACCTTTTGGGGGTTTTACGTCATTCGTTGTTGATAATGCTAAATGACGCATTCTGAAGCCGCTGTCGCACAGCATACAATATCTTCAGGGAGAATGAAGACTATGAAGGCCACCAAGTTTTTCAAGTCCCCTCCTCCGGGGCATAATTCCCTCAGGATTTCAGTAGCTCAGCTGCCCATAATCTGTAGAGCAGTTCTCTGGCGAGTGCTGGGAATTATTTATGTGAGCTCCAGGCTTCCTCCCAGCAGCTCTGCTGACAGCTGTTGGAACGGCAATAACTCTAAAACATGTGGGTTACCAGCACAACCAGCGACTATCAGCAGCGTTTGGGATGCTGCTCCTAACGTAGGATGCTGAGCAGCCCCGCAGGGCTGAGCTGACTCTTCTGGCCCTTCCCAGCTGCGTCTCCCGAGACAAGGAGCACTGCCTGTGGCTACGCTGCTCTCCTTGAGCAGGCAGAAGGCAAAGGCAAAGGGGCTAGGGGCAGACCGTAACCCCGGCATCGCCCTCTAGGTCACTTCTGTTGATGCGTCTTCATCTCCCCAAACGTTCTGAACTAGAGCGGGGGGGTGGGAGGGTGGGGTGTGTGCAAAGTGGTGCGTACTCTTCCTTTTTGTTATTTTTAGAAGGACATGAGAAAGCCAGTGAGGAGCTTTGATTCAGGGAGCTGGGTTCTTCTCTTTAGAGAACGGCTCATTTGCAAACAGAAATCTTCTTCTGCAAAAGAATGTGGGAAGACTGATTTTTTAACATTTTGTTGAAGTTGTTATGAGTTAAATGGATTGGAATGGCTCTGATGTTTTACCAATAATAAGGACATTTTGTTGCTTTAACAATTTCAGAATGGAAACTGTACACGTGTGAATAAGAAAAGCAACAACATGGGACTACTTACTGATTAGAAAGTGCTTTTTTCAAAAAATATCTTTCCAGAATGAAATGTTGTCCAAACAGCATTTAAAAAAAAAACCAAACCTTTACTATCAAGGAAGCTAGAATGCACTTAGGGTAACAAATTTCTGATTTGTTATGGCAACAAATTTCTAGTTTCTTCGACTCAACAAGTTGCTTTCAGAAAGAGCAGCCTACCTCTGGCTCTGCTCCTGCAAACCGGTAACTGGAAGTTTTGGCTACAAACGGTTCAAGACTCCTCGTTCGTGCCCTCACGCTGAGCACGGGGCTTTTTAGCTGCTGCCGGGCAGGGATTCACCCCTGGCGAGCGGGGTTTCCCCCGTTCAGCTGCAAGCGTTGTGGGGCCGGTCGAGGGATGTAAAATCTTCCACTCCGTGGTGCAGCAGGCGTCCTTCTGCTGAGATGCCGTGTTACGCGGGCGCCGGGGTCGTGCCGGTACACGCTTACGAAACCCGAATTCTGTACTGACTTTTCTGAATCGTTTTTTTCAAGGGCGCGTTTGTACTGAGTTTTTTATTATTTTATTTTTAAATAGGTTAAAAAGGTTTACTCTGTTCAGGACGTGAAAGGGAAAAGAAAAAAAAATGTTTTTAACTGAAATGAACAGACAGGGGGGCGGTGGGAACCGGCGGAGCTCCGGGCGGCGGCTCAGCGGCGGAAGCGGGGATGGGCGCGGGTCTGTGTTGGGGTCCGGAGCCCACCCGGCGCCGGGTCGCGGAGCTGACCCCTCGGGT